ACACCTTTTTCCAAATTTCATTCTTTTCAAAGTCATGGGTCTTGAATTTTGGACACATTCTGTAAGTTAACCACATTTGAGGTGATCTTTATTAAAAAAAATTGTTGCCATATGACACACTGTTCTGCCCAGTTGAAGGTTATGATGAGAGTTTTAGTAGAAGGCATTATTTGGTGTGAATCATTGCTAAACATTATTTCTTCTGTAAAACTTCTTAGGAAATAAAGAAAACTGATGATAGGGGAATTGAATGGTACTGTGCCTCCCAAAATCCAGCATCCTGTTGTATATCAGTTTGTTTTGAGAACATCAATTTCTTATTGAGAAATAAGGCATTGCATTCAACAGGACTTACTTTGGTCTAAGCTTACTTTAAATAATGTGATTAGGAGACACTGCAACTTCTTTGGTGCATCATTAATACCAAAGGCTTTTTTTAAATCATTAATACCGAAGGCTTTTTATATTTATATTTGTAGAAGATTAAATGTTCCAAAACACACGATTCTGGACTATTATAAGAGCATGTTAACAATTAAAAATGTAAAGACTGGGATTCATGTCATTGGACTGTGGGGTTGAAAAAAATTTGAAACAGAAATTTAAAATGTACATTTAAAGGAGACCTCCCTTGTTAGCAGGGGTAGAAAACTCAAGGGGGTTGTATAATATAGGTAGTGATGGCATTCAAAAATTTTTACTACCAGTTCTATGAGCGTGGCTTGGTGCGTGTGGCATGGTTTGGTAGGCGTGGCAGGGGAAAGATACTGCAAAATCCCCATTCCCTCCCCACCCCACTAACCTGCTTTCCAGCTCCGTTCTCCTGTGCAGGGCAACTAAAGAAGACCCAGCCAATCAGCTGGGACTCAGGAGGCAGAGAAGAAATGGGGGTGGGGCCAGTCAGAGGTAGTATTCCAAACTACTCAAAATTTCCACTACCGGTTCTCCGAACTACTCAAAATTTCTACTACCAGTTCTCCAGAACTGGTCAGAACCTGCTGAATACCACCTCTGAATATAAGGGTTCTAATGGTCCTTTTTGTTTCGTGGTCAGCAAATCAAATAATTATTATTTACCCATTTAATTTTGCAATTCATTATTGTCGATGCAAATTCATTTATTCTCCATTTACATTGTGTCATATACAGATATGCCAGGAAATCTGGTAGCAAATTTCACAAAGAAAAAAAAATTATGTGGAAGAGCAAAAGGATTTTCTGCCCATTTTTTAAAATTTGCCAGATCATGAATTATGAATATTATGAACAACGGTTGTTCTGGTATATTAATTTGTTTATGTTCATGCTAGCTCTCATTGTATTTTCAATCATTTTTAATGTGTCTTTTCTACATAATATTTCTATGTAATATTCTTTATGTTAATTAAATCTTACTTCCCAGAAAATGAGTTCTATATGTAGAATTATATATAGAGACATATAAGCTTTTTAAAATATTGCTTCTTTCCAGTTATATTGTATCATCTATAGTTTAGAAATAAAAATAGCTTCATGGAATTAACACAAGAGTTCTGCAAAAGCAGTTAGGAAAAAAATGAACTTGTTGCAAATAAGGCACTTTTAAAGTGTTAATCTGAAAAGAAGTGTTAACGCTTTATTTACTTTATTTACATTTAAATTAAAATGGAAACTTATTTATGTGTTATGTTTCTGAAAGGTGTGTGGCACATCTGCAGTGGCCTATTGTTTATTCATGCTGTAAATCCTTTGAAATGTGTTAAAATGCTTCCCACTCATTATAAAAATCCTGCCACCCATGGATTAGGACTTTGATGTCACCAATCCTGCTTCAAAGGGTTCTTTCAATGCTATTAATCACAGTTTAGCCTCTGAAGATATGTAGCCAGAGAAAACATTTGGACATCTTGTGCTCCTCTCACTACTTAAAACTTTGAAATGTATCTGGAATGTTTTGCACATGCTTAGGCCACATCACTTCCTTCCTTCCCCTCAAAGCTTTTATTTTTAAAATCTCTTTTTCTTTAAAAAAAATCTACAAAAACAATTTTTAGGAATAGCCTTAAAATGTTCACAGCAAACACTTTTCCAGCCAGTCAACAAGGCATTCAGTTGATTTACCAATATGTAAAACTTACTGTACTATTCAACTAATGTTAATTCATTTCACTCCCTGGTTTTCTTTTGAAACTAAAGATATTTAAAAGTACTTAATTGGCTGCATCATATTCGTTACCTTTCATCAATTAATCAAGTAGACTTTGAAGTCATAGTGGTGGTGGTTCAGGTAGTTCAAGATCTTACTACATTTTAGGGCACGTCTTTTACCGCTGAATTATTTTATATCATTAAGATTAGACTAAAGAGGGTGTCCTTTAAGAAAATTGTACAAGCCATGGAAATGTAATCAGAAAACTGGCCCATTTTATTATATGTGGTGGACTTGTGTTAAAGCAAGAAAATTTTGGGCAAAAATACACAGGTGGTTAGAAAAGGTGGTTAGAAACATGTAGATTTTAAACCTGAACTGTTTTTATTAGGCATAACACCAGAAAACTTGATAAGCAAAGTATATATTTAATATTGCATTTCTTGACAGCAGCGAGGATTATATTTGCATAATATTGGAAAAATGAAGAAACACGAGACAAAGATATAATTAGGAAGATATTATTAGATTGTGCATAAATGGATAGACAGTTTTCTGTTACACCTGTAAAGGTTTCTGTGTAGACTCATTGGTCACATCCATTTATATCTTCTTTGAATTTTTTGAGAAATTGTCTTGATTTCTTCACAGAATTCAGTCAAAACCTCTGCTGTTTGAAGGGGGGGAACCATGTCCTCCTGTTTATCCCACTGAAATGAAATATTTTTCTGTTTAAGTCTTATCAGTCAAAAAGAATCATGCTTATCCTAATATTTTTTTTAAAGTACAATTACATCTGTATTATCAATCTTCAGTTTTATATTAAAATGCAACAGCAGAACTTGATCTCTTTCTTCTGACAAAGTACATCAAAACATTCCTGGAACTTTTCTTAATTTTGCAAATCTTGTATTTATTCTAGGCTTTATCAATTTTTGCCTATAAATCCTCTTCATCTCACTCAAAAAACAACAACAACCTTGGATAAGCCTTAATTATTATTTCTGTAATGTATTCATCAAAATCCTATGGAACTGCTCCGAATCTTAAGCAATATTCCTTCTTTCTCAACTCCAATAATGTCAGGTTATTCGTTCCCATCTCTCTTTATATCTACTGCTTTCTTTCCAAAATTTCCACTTTGTCATTAATTTGTGTCTCTCCCCCTCCCTCCTTCCTTCCCTCCCTCTCCTATATTTGTTGATTTAAAAAGATGACATAATGAAATGAATAGGCTTGAATTAACAAATATTTCTGTGAATGTGGACTTAAAACGAGATCACATCCGAAACAATGAAAATGTACTTTATGTATCATACATTTTATAAGCATGTAATGAATTGTAAATGTAAGCATCTGTTCACCATTTTGTATATGTGTAAAATACACCTAAAATACTCTAAATCTGCATAAATTTAAAGATGTGATAAAATGCCTCAGTATAAGTGCATGCCCTGGTTCATTCTTATATAACAGTGAAAGAAAAATAAAAGTTGAAAGTAGTTGGAATATATCACAAACATGTTGAAGAAGGCTGAATGGGTAAAGAAAAAAAGAGAAGAGAAAAAAATACTGACATAAAAAAAAAGAACAGAAGGAAAAAAGCCCCAAACCATTTTATATTGCATAGAAATAATAGTTTGGCCTTATCTTAAAATAAATCTTTATATCTTGACCTCAAAAAAAATGAAATCATCAGTCTTCACTTTGATAAAGAGTCAGCTCATAAATAAAATGCGCATTACATATATTTAATCCATGATTATAAATGTACTCTTTTGCTGTCTGCCTACAATTGAACAGTGATATTTTCTGTCCCCTATAGTCAATAAAGCAATAAATTCTTTACATAATTATAACTTTATATACATTCTTCTACTTATCCCATCTTTATAATTTTTATACATAATTCAAGAACATACCCAGTACTCTTTCCTCTTCCTATTTTCCTCACAATAGCAATCTTACCGTGGAAACTGAGCTGAGAGAACATGACTAATCCAAAGTCACCCATCCAGCTTTTTGATCCTAAGGTGGGACTAGAGCTCATGGTGTTTTGATTTCTAGTCTGGTTGCCTTAACCACTATACCAAACTGGCTCCCTGCTGTAAATGCATCTGGACCAAATTAGTCAAATTTACAAATGGACCTAGTAGAAGCATGCATAATTTGCAAGGATAGAATGGCCTGGAAGATTGATGAGTGGAATTGGCATTAAACTAAATTCAGTGAAATTTCCTTTTCTTTTACCTCCGGTATTTATTTATTTTTTGGCCCACTTCTCACTGTTTTCATTGTTTTGCATATTATTTACTCCCACACACTCCCACTTTATTATAGGTATAGTATTAGTCTTGTTTTTCTTGCTCTTAATACCCACGGCTTGATGATGCTTACGTAGAAATCTGCAGACAGTTCTTATTTTGCTAAATAATGATTATATGCAGAAAGCAAAATATGCACTTGAATATGCTTACCGATGCTGGTGCAAAGACTGTTTTATAAAGGGCCTTTGGGAGACTGGGATGGAGTTGCCTATGGATACAATTCTAATTCCATTTGCAAAGATTGGTTTAATTTCTGAATCCAATGAGAGCATGCTTCTAATTTGACTAAGAAAAATACCTAGTGTTCATATCGCTGTTACTTATATTAGTTTGCCTGAGTTTCTGATTTTCATGATCTTTTGGCCCAGTGGCAATCCACTTCCATATTGTTGCCACGAAAGCAACACAGATACATTACATGATTGCCAGGAGTTGAGTTCCACTTGATGTGGATTTTTTTTTTAATAATTGTTTCTAATCCTTGCTGCTTTCTCCTTCTGTCTCTTTCTTATTCTGTCTCTCTCTCTCTCTCTCTTTTCAAACAGGCAACTTAGCTCAAACAAGAGTAAGAGTAACAGCTGCATCCAGATCTTTACCTCCACAGCTTGGGTCAGGTCGAATTAAGGTCAGTACACACCTAAACTTTGAAAAGAGTTTCGTATTTGAAAAGACCCTGAAGTACAGGTCGTCCTCCATGTACAACCACAATTGAGCTCAAAATTTATGTTGCTAAATGAGACATTTGTCAAGTGAATTTTGCTGCATTTTACAACCTTTCTTGCCAAGTTATTAAGTGAATCATTGCTGCTGTTAAGCTAGTAACATGGTTGTTAAGTGAACCTGGCTTCCCCATTGACTTTGCTTGTCAGAAGGTTGGCAAAGAGGATCACATGACCCTGGGACATAGCGACGGTCATGAATGTGAAGCAGCTGCCAAGCTTCTGAATCTTGATCACATGATCATGTGGATGCTGCAATTGTTGTGTGAAAAACACTCATAAGCCACTTTTTTCAGTGCCATTGTAACTTCAAATGGTCAGTAAATGAACTGTTGTAAGTTGAAGAGTATCTGTATACTAACTAGAGCAAGAAAAGCTTTCCTGCTATTCATTCTCAGAATTTGTTTTCAAAGCCATTGACTTGTAACACTTGAATTATTTAATTTTGGTTGATTATTTGTCACATTACTATTAGAAAAGAGGTTTTGCTTATTTTTTTCCTCAATTAGAAGAATAATCTTTACTACCATTTTCTTTCTTTTTATTTGCTGTCTTTTTCCCTTCCGCTCGCTTATTAGTTGCACACAGAAAAATTAACATGTAATCTTCCTCCTGGGAATGATATGTTAATACTGTAGCCGTACATGGGCTTTAATTAGTTCCCCTCCTGAACACAGCACTATCACAAATTTGCTGAATGTTATCAATTGTGAAGGATTGAACATTGATGAAGATCAGATTTCAAAAACAGAAATCTGATCTTCATCAATGTTCAATCCTTCACAATTGAACAGACATTTGACATAAAGTAACATTGACGTTCTTTTCCGATTTCTTCATTGCATATCATTTGACATTCTCTTCATTCATTTTCATGATTAAGTTTGGTGAATTAGGTAGACAGTATTCGCCTAAAGAAGGCTAGAGTCCCAAGGCCATCCTCCAATTATTTGATTGAATGAGAAATTACGTAAGTCTTTTCCTATAACATGACACAGTTTCTCCTCCTCCACCCAACCTCTGAATTCTCAGCAGTGGAAGTCATCAAAGTTCTACTGTAGATGAAGTGCTCCTTCTGTTACCAATAAAAATGAAACAAAACAAATATTTCATCTTTGTATAAACTATTTTAACTGTCCTTGAGATAGCAGTGATGGTTGCCTCCTCCCTCAGATTAAATGAAGAAGGTAGAGTCACTGCATGTTGGAACATCTAAAAGGACATAGGAGGTGAAGGTATTTCTTCCAATTGATTTCATTAAACAATACCAAGAAAGCAAGAGAACTAAACACAGAACTGCTCTTTTTGCTGGTAGCTCTGTAATGTCTGTTGTTTTTAATTTCACCCTATTTTTTCCAGAGCTAGACTCTTACTTCAGTATTGGTATGATAAACTGAAAGATTGGAATTCAACAACAACATGAAATAAGGCTGAAACATCCTTGAATCATTATCTTTCTTCGGATGCTTTGCACAAGATACAAAGTGCTGTCATCTATTGTCCTCTTTCACCAATGAAAGGAGTTGTCTTCCTTTTAGAAATATCTTTGATCAGATACAGGTAGTCCTTGACTTACAACCACAATTGTGACTGTAATTTCAGTTGTAAATCAGTATGGTTGTAAGTCGAGTATGACCAGACTTGATTTTTATGATCATTGTTACAGTGGTTATAAAGCAAATTATGTGGTCATTAAATCAATCACAAAGTCACTGAATGAACCCAGCTATTCCAATGGACGTTTTTGCTGGTAAAAAAAGTCACAAATCATGATCATGTGACTGCAGGACACAACAATCTATACAAGATAAATACAAGGCCATTGACAAGCACTTGATTTGTGATCACATGACCATGGGGGTAGTGCGATAGTCATAATTGTGAGTACAGGTCCCAAGGCACTTTTTGCCAGGCTGTTGTATCTTTGAGCCATTCTTAAATGAATGACTGTTAAGTTGAAGACTACTTGTAATGCGGAGCAGCTTACTTCTACAGGAGTAAAATTGATTACACTTCCCTTTCCTAAATAACCCTTCCCTTGTGCCATCTTTGCTGTTTGAGTTGTCCCTAATTCTCTGGAGAAAATTTGGAGTGGCACATTGAACTGCAGAAGGAGAGCAATTCAATGAAAATAGGGCCTTTCAATTAACAGAGACTAACCAGATTTTTTTATAAAAACCCTTGAGACAGGGAAGTAATTGTAGGTGTGTAGACTTAAAAATAAAAGAATAAAAAAGTAAACCATGTAATCTTTAGGCCAAAGAGACTAGTCTTCCTGAATGCTGGAGATTAAAAGAACTTTAGAAGATAATCTGGAGCAATATTACAACACAATAATACAGGATTCAGTACTGGAATCCTTTCTCTCCTCTAGAGAAAAACCTTGCACATTTCTGCTCAGAAATATCTCCCTCACTTCTTTCCCTTTAGATGTGAATTTAGAAGGTTGACATTTCCTTGGTTATGTGACCTACATTTCTCATTGCCCATGCTGAGGCAGCATTTCTTTCCTCAAGCCTTACAGGGACTTTTCTGTCATCACTAAAAATGTCTTGCAGAGGGGCACTTTTTTAAAAAACATTTTCATTTGAAAACTGTTTTGTTCTCTGAGGAGAAAAAAACAGCAACTATTCTCAGTTTTCTTTGGGGGGGGGGGGGAATATCTTATTTTTTCCACATTTCCCCCCTCCTTTTCCCCTCTCTGTATCTGTCTGTCTCTTTCCCGGCACTGTATCAAAGACTCTGATCTTAAATCCACTCCCACTCTTGTAATTCTCCTGAGTGCTTCTTTCTTCTCCTAGCTGTTTTGCATGCATTCCTAAGTATCTCCTCAAGGTAAGGCTTGGAATTCCTATTTGGAGATCAGCCATCATTTCCATCCCTTAATGGTATGAGTGGGTGACCTTGGGGGACAAATGAAAGAGGCTCTACCTAGGAAACGGTAAGATAAGAGAGGTAGGAACCCTCAGTGGCTTAAAGGTCAGAGGAAGAAAGTCCTTAGAAAGGACTCACCCTAATTGATCAAGTAATTAAAGGTGCTGGCAGGAAGTTGTACTGACTTACAACTGAAATTCCAGTCACAATTGTGGTTGTAAGTCAAGGACTACCTGTATCTGATCAAACATTCATCAACAGACTAGTAAAATTCTGTTAATGTAGCCTTTCGATAAAGTAGTATTAGCTCACTGAGTCCTGTTTCCTGTCTGTTTTACCAGGTAAAGCTGACAATGCCTCTGCTCGTGGCCCCTTTGAGAATATTAGCCTGGATCAGACATGACTTAGGAAACAGGATGTGAAGTGGTGGCCTCTGGGCTTAAAGCAGGTGCTAAAAACCCTGCACAAAGGTTTCCCATATTCTTAGGTTAACCACCTGTTCGTAGCAGATGGCATACTACCACAATGTGTGGGTGTGTGCTAAAATATTTCTAAGCACCATGTGAACAGGGAGAAGATTGTCTTATTTCATTTGGGTGATGCAATGAAACAAAGCAGCTTTTGACTGGCAACTACTAGAGAAGAATTTTTTTTCATTCACAAAGTCTGATGCATGTATTTATTTTTAATTTAGAACAGCTGTAGTGTTAGCATAATGAAGGCATGTAACAGTGGTGCTTGCTATTTCATTTTTTTTAAATAAAGTTTTATTTGGGTTTTCACACATAACAAAATACAAGTAAAACATCTTTTTTGAAAATAGCATGGTCCCGGGTTGAACTTCTTTATACAGACACAAAACTCAATTTCATGCTCCTTTTTGTGTTCTATTCCATATCTTATACTATTCAACATTTTCTATATAGTTTTTCCCCTCTTTTAATTTTCTCAATTTTATTTTGATTACCGTATTTATCGGCGTATAACACGCACTTTTTTCCCCCTGAAAATAGGGGGCAAATGATGTATGCGTGTTATACGCCGATATAATGTTAAGAAGCCAGCGGAGGCCGGGCGGTGCGAGCGGAGGGCAAGCGGAGGCCGGGCGGTGCGAGCGGAGGGCAAGCAGAGGCCGGGCGGTGCGAGCGGAGGCCGGGCGGTGCGAGCGGAGGGCAAGCGGAGGCCGGGCGGTGCTTCAAAGTTTTTATTTAGAAATTTAAATTTTTTTCCTGAAATTTCCCTCTTAAAATGAAGATGCGTGTTATACGCCTGTGCGTGTTATACGCTGATAAATACGGTATCTCATCTCAATTCAAATCATTATATTTATACTTTTGTCTGTTCTGTTTCAATTTCATATTATCTTTTCTCATTAAACAAATTTTCTCCTGTAGTTACTAATTGGAGTATGACACCTTTATATCTTTTAATTACATCCATTCAACTCTTATTTAAACTTCAATATATACCTTAAGTTTATGACCTTCAATATAATACATAATACATAAGTTCCAATCGAATTCTGCTTGGCACATTCTTATAATACACACTATATTCTTTAAAAAAGAAAGAAAGATTGTAAATATATGTAATTATAAACCCTCATTCCATTCCAGTTCAGTTCTATCATTAATAATCATTAAAATCTTAACATCTTTAACACTTCTTTTCAATTAAATATCATACTTCCTTAAAAACACATATAATCTCCATAATTAATTTTTCCCTTATTTCTCTTCACATATGTTTTATAAATCATTAAATATACCTTTTGTTACATTTATTTATTGACAAGCATTCCACTGAATTACGATAGCTATATTATCAGACATTTTAATCATACATTGTTTCATATTTTTTAAAATTATTTCTGCTTCTAATATAACCATACTATCTTATGTACTTTTGCAGAATCCCTTTTTCCATTAAGTTTTCACCCATTATCTCTAAATAGGCCCTGTTTCTCTATATTTTGCTTCTGTCCTTTATAACTTCTTTTCCTTTCTTTCTTCCCTCTCATCTTCTCCCTCCCCTTTTTACCCCCTTATCTCTCTAGTTCTAATTCTATCTTCTGCATTTTTTTTTGGACTTGTTTTTCCCAATCTTAAACTTTCCATTCTTTTTCCCCTCTTTCCTTTTTCCCCCCATCTAAGATTACTTGTTCATTAAAGATGGCTTCTTCTTTGTCGCAATCTTCTTGTTCTGTAGGCATTTCTTGTTGTTTCTCATAATTCCAAATCTCCATTTCTAAAAACTGAAATACGAAGCCGAAAGAACCTCTCCCTTCTTGTGCATCTTCTTTGTACTTTTTAAGTTTCATTTTCAGTTCTTCTAAAAGTGGAGCCATTTTAAACAGTTTTAAACAATCACCCGATTGATTTTAGTCATTCAAAACAATAACCAAGAATCCAGAAATCATCAAGTAATCCAGATAGTCCCGAGTTATATCTTCTTATTTCTTTTTCAACTTTCTCTTCCTGGGGTTTTTGTTGCAATATTTCAGTTAGAATGTATCTTTTGGAAGTCTTGTTGAGATTTTGCTGTAAGTTCTTTTTTAATTCCAGGTAGTCTCCTCCCTTCCAGATCCTACCCTTTTATTCTTTTTCTCTCCTTTCCTGTTTTCAAAAGCTTTTAATTATCCAGAAATCTTTATTATCCCTTTGACTTTTTATTTTCAGCATTAAATGCCTATTGATGTCAAAGTGGATTTTTTTTCCAATTTCTTGCTTAAGTCTCTTAGCTGTCAGTATAGGAGAAGGAGAAAAGCAAATCTTTTCCCTTTTCTCTCTCCTTCGCAGCTTAAAAATCTTCTTAGGGAACAATGTTATTGTTTTTTAACAGTTTCAATTCCAGGGTACCTTATTTGTTGCTTTTGCTGTTTGACCCAGTCAACCAAAACTTTCTCTTCTTATCTTCCTCCTGCACATTCTTTTCCAGTCGAGTTCTTCTTTGTGGTGGCCATTTCTGACCACCGCTGCAACCGCCTTTGGGAAAGGGAATAATGGCCAGCTGGGGAGGAGAGATGCGGCTCTCCTCAACCCTGCAGGCAATCTCCCCCTTCTTCACCACCTCTATGGGGTGGCTTAGCCCCAAAACCAGCCAGCTCGGGGCGCTCCAGTGGCAAGCACGGATCGAAGTCTCGCAGAGACGAGGTTTCAGTCTGTTGCCGAAGAAGCTCAAACTGGAAGTCTGGTGCTTGCTATTTCATGTACTTGTTTGGGGGATGAAGCACTTTAAAATATTTTTATTTAGAAAAGTGATAATTTGACAGGAAGAACCAACTAATGACATGGAGTAATAGAAAACTACTCCAAAAGGAAATAAAAATGTTAATGTTTTAGGACAAGGCAATGTGAGAAGACAAGGCAATGTCAGAAGACAAACTCCATATTATTTAATTCTGCTATGATTCATCATGTCTCATCATTATAACAGTCTACATCTTTGAATCCTATAGGGGGAAAACTTTTGAAACCATACTCTGAATTACAAAGTAGCACATCGTTATTTTTTATTTCCAGATTGTTAGTATGTGCCAGAGGTTGTATTCAGCAGGTTCTGACCAGTTCTGGAGAACCGGTAGCAGAAATTTGGAGTAGTTTGGAGAATCGGCAAATACCACCTCTGACTGTAGATTTTACAGTATCTTTCCCCTACCACGCCCACCAAGTCACACCCACAGAACCGGTAGTAAAAAAATTTAAATCCCATCACTGGTATCTGCCCTGTCTTAGTTATGAACCAGGAGATAGTATCAATAGGCTTGAAGATATCCTGGGATTTTTTTTATAAAGACCACCTGCCCTCCAAAAAAAAAAAAAACCTGAAGAGAAAAACTATAAAGGGATGGAGACACAAGATAGTTCAGTGAATCAGAAAAGTGATAACTGGGCATAGAACAGGAGTGTTTGGAATCCTGAACAGGGAATATCTTATCCTACATTTACTTCTAAACTCCACTTGTTTTGTATAATTGTAACCAAGGTAAATTAATATTGCATTTGTTATTATGTTTGATATAGGTTCTGACAATAAACCAATCAGTTTGTCCTTTTTTCCTTTGATGCATAGTGAAAAGTACAGATTTTTCACATAAATACATGCAATACATAGATACACATATATATGTGTCTACATAAAACTTCTCCTACTATTTAAATAGATTACTGGGTTTTGTTGCTTGAAGAGAGTTTCTTTTATTGAATAAATGGACTCGATTAAAACAAAGGCATTGGGATCAAAATTTATATCTTTCTGTATCTTCTATTTTCTTTTTTAAAGTCAATCTCAGAGTGTTGGTGGATATAGTCATATAATTTTCTTGGCCACAGCAGCATTCTAAGGGCAGAAGCCAGTGGGAGGCCCATATTAAAACATTCCTCATGTGTGGCCAGAATTTGAAAACAACATTTAATACAGCAATTTCTGACTAAATGTTCTGACTGAGATCAGCATATGTGGGCCTGATTATAGGGTAGATTGCAGAAGTGACACAGAAATATAATTTCTTATTTTAAATTGTTCGTATAGGATTTTATTGGTAATATGTATTTGAACCTTGTACTTAGATATGACCTATAGGCTAATCAATAATATGAATCTATCAACAGATGGCTCAAGACTTTTTTACCTCTCTGATTTTGGTTTCCAGATTGACACCATGGAAATTATGAGGCACCCTGAGGAAACCACCAACATGAAAAGACAAACCGTGGCTTCCTATTTCAGGGTAGGGAATTTAAATTGTATTACTATAGTTTCACTGCTTTCCCAACATCCCATTTAAATAATATTGGCAAATATTCCTGGCACTGGGCAGAACATACACAAGCCCTGCCAGAAGGGATTCCTTTTGATGGACAAGGCAGGGATGAATGAACATGTTGACAAATGGCGTAGTTATTAAGTAAAATTGAGGAGAGACAGAGGTCAAAGGAAAACTCTTAATGTAAAACTTGTTTGGCAGTGAATCAGTGGGTAAGAAGAAGGCAGATTTTAAAAGATATTCAAACATATTTATGAGTCTGTTGTATTTTATTAGAACTTCTAGAAAAAGGATGCCTAGATTTTCATTCCCTTCGAAGAAAATGGAACTCTTGTGCTATATTTGATCATGCTCTACTTTCCTTAGTATTCTCTGATGGATCTGTTGTCTAAAATGGTGATTGGGCAACCTCACTTTGTTCGCTGTATTAAGCCCAATGATGACCGAGAGGCATTGAAATTTTCTCAAGAGAGAGTCTTAGTGCAGCTACGCTATACTGGCATTTTAGAGACTGTCAACATACGTCGGCAAGGATATTCTCATCGCATACGTTTTGATGAGTTTGTAAAAAGGTAAGCTATTCATGCTTTATACTAAATAATTACCCTTAATGGCTTTTAGTAGGATTGGAGGCAAAATTATACAGAGCCAGTTCATCGATTTCTAGATTGTAGCAATTCAGAATTACATGGCTAATGGATGTATCATATTTATATGGCTGCCCATCCCAGAAAAATGTGAATAGGGGCAGGAGATATGCAGTCAAGAGAAGATAACATTTAAAAAAATTATAATGCTACAAAATAAGTTTTAGGAAGTTTTGATTAAAACACAAAACAAAAAAATCTATACAATTCCACAAATGGCAAGACACAAATGGCAAGACTCTGCTAAACAATTAATTCCCACAACACTGTCAAACTATATACTAAGACTGTATTGCTATTCGTCTTCTCATCCTTCCTATTACCTATTTCCTTTTCTACTTATGACTATAATTTTGTTGCTTGTATCTTTACGATTTATATTTATTTAGTTTTCTAGTATGTTTTATGTTGATTGTTTATTTAGTATCCTATGACTATCACTAAGTGTTGTTTCTTATTATTCATGGTGAATGTATTTATGATGACTTTGACCATGATTTATCACTTATATCTTTTGTGTACTGAGAGCTTATGCACTGAAAACAATTCCTTGTGTGTCAAATCACACTTGGCCAATAAAAAATTATATTCTATTCTATTCTAAATATTGGAAAACAGGGAACATTTTTTTAAAAAAAATCAGGACCGGTTAAATTTATCAGTTGTATGATGTACTTTGAGTAGATCAGTGTTGTCTTTTACTAGAACATTTGCCAGATTTGTTGTCAAGCTTCTTCCTAGTATGTGGAAAATACAGTATATTGATCAGTTAAAAGATAACATTTGTTTTGAATTGAACAAATCTCTTGGTGGGTTTATGGAGGCATCCACGTAATTTTCCTGGATAGTAGATAATATTAGAGAGTAGATTTCCACTGCCTTCTAGTGTATCTTCTGAAATTTTTCCATTTGTTCCATGAGGTTCTTCCATTGAACTACTAACCAGGTTCATTTCTACTTTTTCTGAAAAAATAATTCATATGGCATATAAAATGAAGAAAGAAAAAAATAAGTTTAACAGAAACCAAATAATCAGAATGGGGGGAGGGAAAACAAAGGGAAAAAAAACTATACACAAAAACATTTTTAAACAATCAGTTAAATCTTGACTACCTTAGCACTATTGGTGAAACTTTTCGCTCTTTCATATGAAACAGATGAGAGTAAATACAGTATATTTTATCAATCCAAGATTTAAAGCAAGTAGTTTCAGAATATTTCCACTGAAACTATTTTTAGCTGCAAGCAATGCATAATAAATCCAAAGTTTGGATTTGGAAAATTTGGAATGTGTGAATTTTGGTATAAAGTTCAGCCTTACAATAGCATTCTTAAATCTTCCTTTTCTTCCCAATTTATAACTTCTGAATATTAAGGTAAAAGGAAATAACCATGGAACACTCCAATTTCCCCTCCACTAGATCATAATAAGGTTGATGTCTGCCTCTTAATAAATGTCTTTTAAGGTATCCACTAGGAAAAGATGCTTTGTTGATTTGGATATAATTAAAGATGCATATTTAACATTCTTTAAGACATTGTTATGACAGGATATTACAACTCCTTGTTCTAATTTTCATGCAAATAATGGGAATATATCTTCATAATACTCTTCAACCCACAAATTTAAAGTCCTGTTTAATTATGAAGGGCAGACAAAGTCAGGCAGATAGTGTCATCTACAGAGAGTTTGATGGGTAGATAATTGAATGACTTCTCAAGAGACATTCAGTGATAATAATCTAGAGAGCTACCATCCATCAGTACAATAATATATTTACAGACCATCTATAAGCCTCAAATACATTGGCTAGTAAAGGTTAGTATGAGGTGGAAGAAGCATCTCTTTGGCAACAGGAATTCTTCCAGCTCACAGGGTTGTATCTGGACAAATAATGCTATTTAGGTTTAACGATAATACCGTACCTGTATCAGTTGGTGTTCCCAAGACATAGCATTTCATTTTTGAGGCATATGTAGCTTTGGACCTTTCAGTTCTAAAGATTTTTGAATCTCTGAGAGGACTTGGGGTCAGGTCTCCAGCTAGATTAGTAGTTCTAACATGCTTAGTTTCCCTCCACTGAATGTCAGAATTTTTTAATAATTAAAAAAAAGCAGCAGCAAATTGCTAGGAAAAATAGATATTCCCACTCCCTTGTACTTACATGGCCCTTTTTCAACTGGGTGGGTTCATTTAGATATACTTGTAGTACATAGAGCAAATTTATAGTATATGCATGTATATGAGTAGTCACGATTTCACCCTCTGTCTCCAGCTCATGATAGCATATATGATTTATATGCAACAATTTTGGAGTTAGCCTAAAAGATAGTGGCTGGATCATAGCTATCCAATAGGCTTCTGGTTGAGTTAGACTTAAAAATAGGTATTTTTTTATTCCGATTTGATATTCTATCATGATATCCAACTCTTACTATTGAGTTTACCAGCTATTGAAATCTGTTTTATGCTATTGCTATCTAATATCTGTGACCTGATTTTAATTTTAAATAATTGTGTATTTTATTTTATTTTACTTTATTTTGTTATTATTGTTTTATTATTTTAGACTTTCTTTAAAATATGTGAAATATACACATGGAATCATGTCCATGATTTAAAATAATTTTATGCTGAATTTTGCATGTGTTACATATGCTTAGGTATAAGGAAGATATAAAAACATTTCAGAAAAACAGGTCCAGGCTCTAAATGCACTTCATCCTTTTTTGTTAAGTGGGCAAGTGTAAACAAGAATTTCGAAATGTCAGTGAAGTTAAGGATATCAAAGATTTTTCAGAAACTTACCAACAAAATAAATGAAGCATTTGATGTTATTTAATGAATAAGCACATTTCTTAGGAATAGGCAAACTCCTTATCTCTAGTGGCTGCTGTTTTGTAAACCCTGAGCAGGAAAGATGAGCACATAGCACAAAGACAGGAAACAGACAATTAGGCTGAGGTAAATAAAGGCTAAACTTTTGTTTGATGCTTTGCCCATCTGGTTTTCATGTGGTATGAGGCTATTTTATGTGGCAAGCCTGGAAGTTACTTTGGAAACACAAAACTTAATTGAATACAACTTCAGCAACAGAGTGGTCAATGTTTGGAATACTCTACCTGACTCTGTGGTTTCTTCCCCAAACCCCAAAAGCTTTAACCTTAGACTGTCTACTATTGACCTCACCCCTTTCCTAAGAGGCCTGTAGGGGGCGTGCATAAGCACACCAATCGTGCCTACCGTCCCTGTCCTATTGTTTCTTTTTATTTTTCTTGTATGTACCCATTTCATGTATTCATAACTATGTTTATTCTTATACCTGTATTTTGTAAGTGATTGACAAATCAAATAAATAAATAAATAAAATAAATAAATACGAATTCTCTTCGCCAGTTATGTGCAAAATCCTTAATTAATTAAACATGTATTTGGGGTCAACCTTGGAACTTCCTTTCAGTGGCAAGTTTCAATCTTGGATAGTTTGGTTTTTGAACCTTAGCATATTCAAATATAGTTTAACTTTATATAATGACTAAGTACCTGAGAAGACAGCCAGTCTGGTCTAATGTTTAAGGCATCAGACTAGAAATGGGTGGACTATGAGTTCTAGTCCCACCTTAGACACAAAACCAGATGGGAGACTTTGAATTAGACTCTTTCTCTCAGCCTTAGGAAAGAAGGAAGCTAGCTAAAGGCAAACAAGTTCTGAAAAAACTTGCCAAGAAAGTCTCAGGGACTTATCCAGGCAATCTCCAAGAATAGAACAAAAGGGGCAAAAAAACCTTGAGATTTGGCAAGATTTGCCAAGTCATCCACTCTAGATTTGACTAGTCATCCAGTCAGACTTCTAGTTGCCTGGACCTGGTTTACTGTTTGGTGGAACAAGATGACAGTTGCAGGCAATAGGTGTTGTGGGACAAGAAAAAGCTACAAGATGTCAAGGGCAGGGCTGCGAGTGCCTTGTGATCTTCTCTATATCCTTGAACTAATTTGAGGACCAAGTCTGGTAGAAAATACCACCCAAAGATTTGAAGTAAGAATCAACTGCCATGGCAATCAGCAAACTTAAATCCTTAAATCTTAAGCTGCCCGGAGCCTTTTGGGAGTATGGGATGGGCAGCAGCATATAAATTCAACAAATAAATGAATAAAATCCTTAAATGGAACAGAGAAACTTACTGGCTTCTCTTTTGTCTCAGACAGCAAAGTGTCTTGGATTGAGCAAACTTTTCTCCTTTATCCATGATAAAGCATCCATAAGAGGAAATTCTGAAAGATCAGTTCCATAAATTTGAAACTTAGACGTGTGAATCAGAACTCATTCATTTTGGTTCCATGTTTCTGATCTATAACTTGTTTTCTCTAAACCACTTAGGGTAATTTATGCGAATATAGTGCCATACAATTGCATTATGCAAAATCATAGGGAGCAGGTCAGAGAAATCAAAACATACAATTACATGAAGAGTCCTGTGACACCTTAAAGACTTTTAAAATGTATTATGGCATATATTTGTCTGTACTGGAATTGATTTAAAATGTCTGCAGCTATGGTCTGCTGGCCAGAACGTTCCAGTGAGAAGCTCTTGGGCAGCCTACCATAGATCTTCTTGCTGCCTTTACTGTGACTCCTTCGGAATTCCCCTCTCTATGTTAACTGCCAAACATTTGCTGCAGAAACACAGTAGGTAGTGCACTGCCTTTATTTATTCGATTTATATAGTTGCGTATACACATATACTGGGCAGCTTATAGTTAGTAAACTGTGTCATTCTTGGCTATTGAATATCATTATTATGAAGGGTCATCAATTGGAAATTTGGAAAGGGAGCAGCAAGTTTCAGTGACCCTGTTCTCTAAAAAATATAATAAATCCTGTGGATCTCTTTAAGCAAGGGCTAGATAGCTTAAATGTTCTTTTGAAGTCATTAACATGAATATAACTGAGCATTGAACAATAGTTTTTCACATAGTTTTTGTTTAATGTTGTTAGACAAGAATAATGGAGATAGATTGTGACCCATATTTTACAGTTCCTCATTTGCAACTGTTCCTAAGGCATGGTTCTCAAAGAAAGGATTGTTACATCATTTTTCTAAATGCACTTACCATATTATAGAATAAAACCCATTGAAAGCAGTAGGACCTCACCATAACATAAATACATGTAGGATGGTGGGTTAAATCACCTACCCAGTTCAATATAATTTACTTTTTTTTTCTACAAGGAGTAACATATGTTCAGTTAAATATGCAAATGGACTTCCTTCATTCGTTTCTTCCTTCCTTCTTTCCTCCCTCCCTCCCTTCCTGCCTCACACAAATATTTATTTTGTAAATAAATGGAAACACCAACTACAGAAAATGAAAACATTTTTTGCACCAGCATCATATTTCCAGAAGCAGTTTGTTATGCATTAGATCCCAATTTCTTGTTTCATTTTTGTGAAAATGGAAATAGAGGCACTTAGATTTGCATTCCTCCCTTTATTTGTTAATGCTAATGAGACTCATAGAAGTGCATCAGGACAAGTCCCATAGCTTTGATCTTGGCTTAAATTTTCCTGGCTTGTGAAATCTCTCAGAAGAGCCATTTATTATACAACTGAGTGCATATCTTCTGCTGAATTACACTATTCATATGCAAGCAAGTATGTTAAGAGAACATTTACATGATGACAGGTCCATGCAATGTGCTGGGGGGAGGAAGGCAAGGAGCAGTGCTATGCGGGGCTGCTAAAATCTCAAGATTTGTGAAGTGGGATAAAATGATAAGGGAAAACACATGGCATAACATTGTTAGTTGTGGGAGTGTTAGTAATTATATAAGTATTATATATTTACTAACATCACCTTTTACAAAGTATAAAATAGAATTATTTTATTTTAGTAGAATTATTTATTCTACTTCCCAGTATCAAAGCAATTTGTGTTGTGCTTTTTAATGTGACTATTCTTTCTTCAGAAATGTATTTATTTAATTAAATAATTAAAAATAAAATGAAGAACTTATGGCATCTGTAATTTAATCACTCAGCACTAAATGATGAGTCTTGAAATAGGAAGATAATATCTTATTTTATCTGTTTGGTATGAAGGACTGTCAGGAAAAAATGATTTCTTTGGGGAAAGAACTTGGTCCAAGTCTGATTTAATCTCAAAGAATTCTATGATCACAGAGCCAAAGCCTTAATTTTGTCTGAACAGCATCTGAACAATAGACTGAACTGGCCCACCACTCAGTGTGGTGAAACTACTATACTCCTGTTTAATTACTTAATTGTTTCTAAAAGTGTATCTACACATATAAAGTACCAAATACAATGCATATATTGTTAAAATGGGCCTTTATCATACTTCTTTAGATGTAGGAATTGGGACTTTTTAAAATGATCCATTTCATAAGAATCTTGCTCTTTACTTATTTATTCATTTTTCCTACCTTTCTATAGAATATTATATAGCTTTTAGCAATCCAAATATCTTGGTCTAATGAATATTACTAGTACCTAGAAGCTGGAAAAATGTTTGGCTTCTATTGACCTACTGCCCTTGTTTTATTAAACATGCTTATTTATGAAATAATTCTGCCATAACCACAATTTTATTTATTATTTTATTCCCCCCCCCCCCCCCCAGGGCGATTCACAAAGCCAGAAAAGTTAGGGAACTCTGATCTAAGAACAGATTAAAATCCAATTTAGATGATATTGTAAAAATCTGGGATAATATATGTGCCCCAAAAGCAAGTTTTTCCAAGGACAGCCCTCTAGAGACATTTGATAAGGTCTTCTCACTAATTAGTGACTGCCAAATTTGTTTTAAAGGAGAAGGACTAAGGCAGATAGAGAAAAATTTAAATGTATTTAATATATGAATATGTACACATAAGATTATACTTTAGCTGTCCATCGTAGTATAGTAGCACGATTGAAATAAATAGGGTTTACTTTGAAGTACATTCTTAAGCTATGAATAATTAAGGAATATTACATTATTCTGGCCTTATGGAAGTCTTATACATCTGCTGGCCTTTAAGATGGGAATTGTAAAATATTTGGTGATGATGGAAAGCTATTCCAACAAACTAGAGATCTGAGTAATATCACACTTTCTTATTTATAAGGTATGTAAAATATGTTTGATAAAAAATCTATATATACATAATTCTCAGTAAATACACACACACACACACACACACACACACACACACACGTGTGTATGTGAGAGAGGGTGTGTGGTTATGGTTTCTGGAAGATTGTGTGAATCATGTTTTAATAAACATACAAATTGTCAGTAATGTTCTCTTTTTCAATCTTTTTTCCAAAACTATTCATTCCGTTATTGTTCCTTTAAAACAATATGTAAAACATTTTGCTTTCACGTGGGGAATTACCAGATTTTCTTTTTTCTTTTTTTAGTTTCATTTTACTTTATAGACAATATTCTAATCCTATAATGGTGTCTTTGAGACATCCAGTTGATTCTGTATTTAGTAAATCACTTTCAGTTTGATTGTTCTTCCACCAAATAAAGTACTACATGGATTATTGTATGATGCACAAGACAGAATGGTATCCTTAGAAAGAGACGCATAGCTGGTTGCTGCAAAAAAAAAGTGTTTCAAGGTTTTGTGAACTCAAAAATAATGAAGTGCTTATGGCACACTCAAGCATAATACAGGTACTCCTTGACCTTAATGCCCATTATGGTCATAATTCGTGGCAGTCATTAAGCAAGACGCCCACGTGATCACCTCATTTAATGACATAATCCCTACTCTCACAGTTGCATCATTAAGAGAGCATGGAGTGCTTCAGGGGTGGTGGAAGCCCTGGAAGGCCTAGCACAGGGCCAGGCCCACATTGCAACCACCTCTACAATTCACAAGTGGGCTGTCTGGGCCTTCCACACCCTAAATCACCTGTGCTCTGCTTCTACCCGATTGGAGCCCCGCAAGCCTTAGGCCTGTTTCCTGTCTTGCTGGGGCCTTGCATGTCTTGGGCCCACACCCTCATGGCTGTGTCCACTTCTTCTTTGAAAAGCAGTTGAGCCACTATACTGTCTTTCTACATGGAAGCCATGTGACACCATACATAAAGCAGGCCCCGTTAGTCACAATTCAACTATACAGGGAGGCCGAAGGGCAGATCGACCAGCTCTCCTTCTAAGTGCTCCCACAATATTTGAGTGGTATGATGAGCAGAGTCAATTGCTTTTAACTTCACCATTCATTCTCTTTTATTTCTTTATATTGTAAACGCAGAATCTTTTTTGCCCCTTTGATTGCATTCTCACTCTTTCCTCTACTTCCCTTCCTCTCATGTAATGAAGATGGATATGGAAGTCATTTTTACTGTAAACTAATTTGTAGCCTTGACACACATTGAGTGAATCTGTGCTGTTATCTTTCAATGTCACCAATCTGCTCTAAAAAAAAAAAAGCAATAGTACCTGAAATATTGATGTATTAATGCTTTAAATGAACATCAGCTTTAAGGCTGGTGAAGAAAAAATGTTATGAAGTAATTTGGAGCATCCCCATTACATTTAGTAAGTTGATGCTCCCGACATTACCTTAGAACTGATATTAAAACACATGCTTTTTTAAGAAAAAAAACCCTGCCCTTAACTTTTAATGTCTCCAATACAATTTCTAAATAAATTAAATGTATTGAAATCCTGAAGTTAATTAAGCCTAAGTATGTATCATATGCCAAACATATATTATGGCATTCCGCAAACCACTTTTACAAAGTCAAGGGAAGTGAATGAGGATGAGTTGGCTGTGAAGAAACAATTTAAGTTTTATTATTGTGGTCTGGTAAGATTTAGATTTAATGGGAGCAAATCAAATTAAAATGCTCCACCCTAAAAAGCTTATCAAGTTGCCTGGCTTTTTGATGGCTCCTAGACATATTCCTGCCATTTGGAAGGTGATTTTGTGGGATGGGGACATACATTTGGGTACTTATACAATATAGTGAGAGAGCCAGTTTGGTGTAATAATTAAGGTATCAAGCTAGAAACCAGGAGTCCATGAGTTATAGTCCGGCTTTAGAGTAAGCCACCTTGATGACTGTAGGCCAGGCACTTTCTCTCAGCCCTAGAAAGAGGCAATGACTAACCATTTCTGAAAAAACTTGCCAAGAAAACTGCAGGGACTAGTCCATATGCAATTGCTCTGATTCATGAAATCCTAATCCATACTATTTGCAGGATTCCCTGTGCCATTGTAAACAAGTTGCTTTTTCAAATCTGATCTTGGTTATCGTTTATATTTCTGTAGATATTATTACATTGCTTTCAAAGCACATGAGAACCCTTCTCCAAGCAAAGAAAACTGCATTGCTATTCTTCAAAAGGCCATGTTAGACAAGTGGGCTCTTGGGAAAACAAAGGTAAGATAAATTCCATTCCAAATCTCTTGAAGCAGAAGATATAATCATAATGGAAGTCCTGTAATATTTAGTAGTATTGTGCAAGGTATTCAAACTAATGTTAACTTTAAAAACCATTCTTTACAACCAATGTATAAAAGCTGATTATGCTGTACTTCTTGCAGTATAGTCCCTTCACTTAAAATAAAATGACACTGCTTTTCAAAAGACATGGATATATACCCTCATAAGAAAATGGAATTGTGTATTGTGGTCCATTGGCATTCTTGAGGAATCCTTTTCCTTTTTACATGAGAAATACTTGAGAAACAATAGTCTTTCTGGGATGCTAACCCTTGAAATAAGGGACATTATCAGATGCAATTGGTAGTGTGCAATAAGGGCCAGTGTTATAAACAGGAGCCAATTGGTAGACCTGTTTATAGCTCAGCAGAATTTAATGTCACATTTAAGAGTTTATTCACCCAATCTGTTTGCACTGACATGGATACTCCTCCACCTATCATGTGACGAGGACACAATCATCCTCATGACATCATCTCTATCTCATCATGAAATGGCTGCTAAGACAATGTGAAGATGGTCTTAGGTGTTCTTGGGTAGAATGGTGTTTGCATCTGGTATTGAAACATGCAGTATTCTAATTAAAAAATTTAAGATCAAACAGTATATGTATCTTTATTTTAAAGAGATTTTTTAAAATGTATATATTTACCTGAATGTGAAAAACTGTGCATCAGGTGGCAGCATTTGTACAGTGAAACTAAATGGTTAAAATAAAGGACAAAAGAGATTTTGAAAAACAAATAAATCTTTAGACAGCTTCCTGAAAAACAAGGACTAACCTTTATAATAAAGGATATGTGGTCACTATATCTAAGAGATGAAAACTGTATGTAGTCCAGCATCTCTTTTCCCAGACTTAGGTAAGAGGTTTCAAATAACCTTAAAGCATCCTGAAGTAATTCCAGTCTATGACTATTGCCTTTCCTATTTGAATTAATCTTTCACGATTTAGTTTAGTTTAGTTTAGTTTTGAAATGATGTATGACTGTCTTGGCTCCTCTGAGCATAAGTGTTGAATTCTTTCAATTTTTTAAAGCTTTGCAGTCACTGCCCAAAGTATTGCATTATGTACTAGAGCCTGGACATCAAATCAACATGCGAATATCTATGCTACATCCCTAATATATATGTATGTATGTATGTATGTATGTATGTATGTATGTATGTATGTATGTTATTCAGCTTTGTGCGGGTATTTTCCCACGTCATTATACTTGAGCTTTTAAAGTTGTAGCAACGTTTCGGCAGAATCTCATCTGCCATCATCAGGCTTCTGTATTGTGTTTGTCTGTGAGTCAGACTTTCACAGCTATTTCAGTTTTAAATTTGGGGCTAGCCTACTGCTGTGCCAGAATGTTTTTTTCTTCATCCTGATTGGTAGGGAATGTTTGTTTGTGTTTATTGGTCTTGGAGTTTGCTGTGTTCTGCTTGATTGGTGTTTCTAATATCTTCTGTCTGTTTTGTGTCTTTTTTTGTCTTGATTGGCTGGCAACATTGTGTTTCCTGTATTGGAGGCTTTTAGTGCAGCTTGGCTCCGAGTAAATGGACGGCTATCATTTATTAGGAAGCTAGGTTTCATCTGGGTGCCTGGTTGGGGTGTTTTTGAGCTGGAGGTATCAGGGGGGATCTGTTTGTGCCCAGGTGTTTGCCTGGCTTGTGGTGTGGAGATTTGTTTTGTTTGAGAGTGCAGGCTTCCAAATAATTGACAGTCTGGTGGAATCATCTCTTCTATTCATGCTTTCAGGTATTTTTTCAATCTCTATGGCTTCTCTGATAATTCTGTGGCTGGGGTTTTCTATAGTGGCTAGGGTTTTGGTGCCATTGAAGTCGATGCTATGACCTGTTGCTTTCATGTGTTGGACTAGTGAGGAAGTGTGTTCCAGCTTTTTTACTGCATTTTTGTGTTCATCCAGGCAGGTACTTATTCTTCTATTGGTCTGTCCAATGTATGTGGCAGGGCATGATGCACAGGGGACTTCGTATATGCCTTGGTTTTCCAGGTCAATTTTATCTTTGGGGTTTCTTAGGATGGTTGCTATTTTTCTGTCTGTTTTGAAGGCAGGCTTGATGTGATGCCTGTGTAATATCTTACTGATTTTGTCTGTAGTACCTCTTATGTAGGGCAGGACAGCTGTTCCATAGGTCTGTTCATCTTCTAGGTCTCCATTATGTCTCAGTGTGTTTTTGTGGATCAAGCCGGTGATTTTGCTTTTGTGGAAGCCGTTAGCTGTCAGTACTTTAGTCAGGCTGCATAGTTCAGTCTTTATGTGTGTCTTGTCTGCCAGACGTTTGGTTCTGGCAATTAGTGTTTTGGCCACGGAGTTTATCTGTGCTGGGTGATGGTGGGATTGGGCGTTGAGGTAGCGGTTGGTGTGTGTTTTCTTCTGGTATATGGTGTGTCCTAGTGTGCCATCTGTTTTTTTGTAGATTAGTACATCTAGGAATGGTAGTTATTTGTTTGTTTCCATTTCCATGGTGAACTTGATTTTGGGGTGTGTGCTGTTTAGGTGTGTTAGGAAATTGTTTAGGTTTTCTTTTCCATGGGGCCAAATCACAAATGTGTCATTGATGTATCTTAACCATAGTTTGGGTTTGTGGGTGGCATTAGCTAGGGCTCTGGATTCAAATTCTTCCATGAGAGGTTTGCAATGACGGGTGACAGTGGTGATCCCATAGGGGCTCCTTCAATTTGCTTGTATCTTTGTCCTTTGTATATGAAATATGTGTTAAAACAGTGTTCTGCTAGTTCCATGAGGTGTTTAGCTGGTTGGTATTTATTTTTGATGATTTCAAGAGTTTCTTTTATCGGGACTTAAGTGAATAGTGAAACCACGTCGAAACTTACAAGCAGATCTTCTTGCTCCACGTGTAGATCTTTGATCATTTCCAAGAAGTGGTATGAGTTTTGTACATGTGAAGCTGCTGCTTCAGCATGGGGTTTTTAGCTAGGTTTTTTTTTTTTTTTTTTTTTTAAGCAAGTTTTATTAATTTCAAAAAACAAACAAATCATCATCAACCATTACATATTTGAACCTTTTTCCATTATAAATTTAACAAGTCAGATAAAGCCTTATCTTATACAATACATTTCTATATTATTTCATCAATTTCTTTCTGACTTGTATCATCACTCTCTTTCTATGATTCTACAAGGTTTCACCAATACTCTCAAAGACATAAACAAACACAAACATACATATAAAAAATCTTTTAGTAAAGTAACTTGGCCCCAGGTACCTCTCTTTATATGGGCTTTAATTATATTCATGCTCATCTTACAGATCATTACTTATTTTATTTACCATTCTGTATCTTCCATATAAACTTCTCCATACATTTCACTCTTCATAATTCTCTCTTATTCAATCCATCTTAATTTAAATCATTATATTTATATCTTTTGCCCAACCTTTATTATCCCTCTATCTCATTCCTTATAATGAAAAAAAAAAAAGAATTTCTCCTGAAATCTCTAATCAGAGTATGATGCCTTTCTATCCTTCCCCTAAATTAATTAAATTAACATTTAAAATAACACCTAATACCCAATTTGATTCTGCTTGGTACATTCTATCTACTAATTTTTACTTTTAGTAACAATAAAAACAGAGTAAAAAATCAAAAATGTTTAAATACATAATATCCTCCTAAATACGTAGTTAAATAATAAATCTAAATAATAAATCTTATAGCATTCTCATTGCCTTTCCCTTCAATATTTTATTACATTTTAAAAATCAATCATTATTAAACATTTCAACATTTTAATTTCTTATTAACTCTTAAGCCATTCTAATTTTCTATTTCTAATACGAATGTTACAATACCATCTTGTGTACCTTGCAGAATCTTTTTTTAAAAAAATTTTTTATGCTTTACCCATTATCCCTAAAAAGGATTCCTCTTTTCCCATCTAATTTTAAAACTTTGTGGCTTTTCTCCGCCTTTCCCCTTTCTTTCTTCCCCCACCAAGTCTTCCTACCCCCCCTTCTTCTAACCTCTGTCTTGCCGGCATCCCTTCTTTGTTGTATTCCCTTTTTCTCTTGTTTGCTATCATTGTATTTATTTTGCATCATATTTTTCTCTTTCTTAAATGTTTTTTTAGATCTTAAGTCCTTCATTTTCCTCGCTTTCTTCCTTCCTTCTTTCTTAGATGAATTTTGGGATTCATTGAAGATGGCGTCTTTATCTTCTTCTTGTTGCTCTTCAGCTTCCATCTGTATTGTCTGTTCATAGTTAACCAACGCCATTTTTAAAAAAAGAAAAGCTTTTTCCATACCATCTTTACAGGCTGCTTTTGTTTGCTCATATTCATCCCTCAGTTCCTCCAAAGAAAAAGCCATTATAGATCTTTTCTTTTCTTTTTCACACCAACCAAAATATTCCAAAAGAAAAAACAAGACAACCCCAAAGTCCACAATCCTCAATCAATCCAAGCCAAGCCAGAATTCCCCCTTTCTCTTCCAGGGGTAGTATCAGACAAAGAAAAAAAAAGAAAGTTCAAATCTGTATTTTGAAGCCTTATTGAGATTTTATTTCTGTTTTCAAATCCTTAAGGCATCTCCTCCAACAAAATCCAACCAGATAAATATATTTTTTGTCCTCTCCCTTCCGACTTATCCCAAAAAGCTAGTTTTACCTGAAAAAAAAAAACAGGTTTCTCAATATCCATTTATTAATTCCGTCGGGGGGGAGAGTAAACTTTCCTTTCAGCACCTCAGAATTGCCGCTTATTTCCTCTTGTGGAAAGAATCATCCAAAAAGCCATCATTTTCAGGAATTAAACTAAATATATCTTAGAGTCCTGGGTCAACCAAGAAGACTTTCACTTTTTAAAAACTTTCTCCTCTTCCTCCAGCGCATACTTGACCAGCTGCCGGCTTCTTTG